TTAGAGAAAAAAATCTATTTATCTGAAGTGAGGTCTTGAAACATTTTAGAGGCTTCAACGTCACTCACAGAGATAATTTATTTATGCTATAAGAATTTTGAACTGACTTTGTGAGCTTCAAGTCAAAAGAGCCAAAACGGGTGTTTTCTTTCTCTAGATAGTAAAGAAATGGCTCAAAAAACTGGAATTTTGTTTACTTTCTGAGAGGAAAAAAAAAAAAAATTCACACATCCAGTTCTTCTTTACCTGTGTAAGAAACAAAGTATTCATAAATTCTTTAGTTTTGTTGGAGAATGAAGGTATCTTGAAGTGTCGTTTAATCTGGTCCATCATCTCTTTGTTTCCTGAAAGCAAACCAAAAATTCAGAATTTTTTTTTGCCATTTTTCCCTTTGGGACGAAATGATTTGAAAGCGTCTAATAGTGTACTCAAAATTATATATCAGTCTTTCTTTGTATCGTTTGTTGCTGTACTCTTTTTGGCTGATATCCTAGTATCCGGTTTTGCCTTTGCTTGAATGCTTCGTTTTCATGTTTATTATTTCGTCTTCCATCCTCCCCACTAATTTTCTTCATTACTTTCGCGTTTTTTCCCCTCGTTCTACGCAATCTACAATCGATCTGCACTTTCCACATTTATCGTTCTCTTTTCCTTTCTTTCGACATATGATTTTCCCCACTCTGCATATCGTATCGAAGGGCTTTTTTCGTTTATACTTTTTCTCAACCTATCACTCTTCACGGCTTTGCAATTTACACTTCCCTCCTTCCTCCTCATTTTCCCTTATTTCATTTTCCCACCCCCCCATTTCCCATCCCACATACCATTTGCATGATGTTGTCTATGCAGCATGAAAGGACTGTTATATTCCCAATCTTCCTCGGTAGAAACAGCCGAGAGAGTCTCGAAAGAAGGATAGGACTGGAAACCATATTCCGAGGCGAACCGAGGATTTGGGTGACCACTGACATTCCAACAGTCCATGTAGTACTTATAGAAATGTACTGTAAAACATGAATAAAGGACTGAATGAAGGCTTGTTTAGAATTGCGCAAAAGTATAGTAAAGATTATGCGCATTATCATGCGAAATTTTCCTTGCTCGAGAAAATAAATGTGCGAGATTTGTGTGATGTGACATACCATCGCCCCAATCAGGGCTATTGGGTAACTTAGATACCCAGCCTTCTTTCTTGGTTTCTAGTCCATTTGAAGGCGAGGAAACAATAAAAGGACGAGTCTTGTCCTCTGCTTGGACTGTTGTGCGAATGGTCTCAACGTACAACTGCGATTAAAAACATATATATGTCCATCTATTTAAAGATATTGGGAATCATAATAAATAATAAAAAATGAAAGATTTTTCTTCTGTGAGAAGAGGGATGTTATGTGTAGAGGTGATGTAAACTGTTTAGCGAGCAGTACTGACCTTAATGTAGTCCTCCACGTACAGGCTTTTGTTCGGATTAGTTTGATACCTTTAAAACAGAAGATCTTTCAAACTACATAAAATCGAAAGCGCACACAAATTAAACGTTCGCGGTTCATAGCAAGATGATATACGCACCAGTTCTCGGCCAGGGCGATCTCGTTCTCGTTGTTACCGCTCCACACGAAGATTGAAGGATGGTGATTCAACCTCTCAATCTATGGCGGTAAAAGATGGACGTCAATGGAGTTACATTGATGTCGCTACACTGCCGCGTAGAATAACTTGGATATAGTGTTGTTACTTACTTAATAGGCATGCACGTTTATATATGTATTTTTGCCTGATTCATCACTCTCTCTATATGTTCTATTTAAGAAATAGAAAACGAACGCGCGTGCTGTGTGCAGTTATAAAGCACACGGGGGTTGTTAGAAAAAGAGAGAAATGTTAGGAAAAGCACAATGCATAGCGAAGTGACGCAACTTAAAGTGCGCACGTGCTGTGTGCTCTCATATGGCACGCACTCCCAAGCAACCAGATCGCAAGATTTATAACAGTTATTTTTTAATACCTGAAATACCACCTCCTCCTTGACGTTCAACAGGAATTCCTTATTTGTGGGGTACATAGAACACGCGAACATGAACTCTTCCCAAACCAGTAACCTATAAATAACGTGAAAGAAAGCTACTAAATGACTCGACAGGATGCAAACAACGTTGACAATAGCCAACGATTGATGCTATACTACTGCGGTTTACAGAAAACATTTCGCGCAAGAAAAAAGGAATTAAAGTGTCTTTAAGAAAAGTAAGGAGGGAGGGAAGGAATGGAGGAAGGAAGGAAGGAAGAGAGAAAGGGAGGACAGAGGAAACGAGGGTAAGAAGAAAAAAAGGAACGAATGATCGAAGGAAAAGAGGGAACGAACGAAGAACGAAAGAAGGAGGAAAGTGCGGATGGAAGGACGGACGGACGGACAGAAGGATGGACGGAAGGAAGGATGGACAGACGGAAGGAAGGAAGGAATACTTCTGGTACGGAAGATAAAAATCTTTACTTGCGGAAGAGGCATTGCCATAACTCACCCAAGCTCATCAGCAATCGAGTAAAACACATCATGCTGATAAATCCCTCCACCCCAGTTCCTGATAACATTCATATTCGCATCTGCCGCAGATTGCAGTAAATTTCTTAAAACAGATGCATTGACGCGATCCTCAAATGAATCTATAACAGAAATTTTAAATTCAAAATTATACAATACATTTATATTCGCATGGTGGAAAAAATCCTTTGTAATAAAGTTGTAAGAAAGGCAGGACCATTTAATAAGGGGGGCTCGATTCTGTGTTGCGACCCAAGTTGCAAGAGTGTATACGCGGTGCAACGGAGACTCACGCAATCGTTGCCAAAAGGAAAAACAAATTCCACTTTTTGCAACGATTACTGCAACTTGTCTCGCAACATTTCTTCAAATTGCGCTGTAGGTTACACGCTGCAATGCTCCATGCAACTTCTGTCACAGCGCCGATGCGAAACAAGCTGCAGAGAAAATTGATTAGTGTAATCGCGCCTTAACTCTTGCAAGTGAAACTTGTGCCATGAGAGAAGTTCACTCAAAAGTTTCATCATATAATAAAACGCCCCTCGTGGAAATTGCTTTGCAATGCGGTTAGGCACACGTAAAGTCACGCCCAAAGTTTTCGCGATGTACGTAACAGGGCGTAGACCACCCCATTGTTACTAAAAACAAACCTGCTGGAATCCAGTTTGCTCCTTTCAAAAAGATGGGAAGTCTGTTGATTTCGAAGTGGAATCCAAGACCTAAGGAAGAGAGAAAATGAAGTCCCTATCACTTAAATGCACCACACTGTCAATACAAAGGGTTTTTTTTGATCCCAAGGAGTCTTCACAAAGGATCGGTTGAATGAAGAGTCAAAATGACTCTTTTGAAGGTGTTGTTTTGGGGTCAAAAATGAGTCCTTTGGAGGGATCAAATGAATTCCTTTGTTTCCACAATGCACAGTTCCAGAAACAAATTATTAAATGATTCTACTTCTTTAATTTCATTCCATCACGAGGTTTTAAAATCACCTTGAGCTCCTTTGATCAGTGGTTGAACAAGCCTGACTTCTCTGAAACCAGTTTTGGTTGTGAACGATGAATGTTCCTGAGAGCCATCAGAGTCCTCTCCCTCAAAAACAAACTGTAGAACGAGAAACCTTACTTAAAATACCCCACTCTTCTGCTTTTGCTGTTAGGGCTAGTTCCATTCACAATAATAATAATAATAAACTTTATTACTGTGTCATGTCGTTCTAGCTTATTTAAATAAACTAATTGGGGACACCTATCTAG